GGGCCAGCGCCTACCGTGAGTGGGAACAGGGGGTGACAGTGCCAGCACCAGCAGGGGGTCACCATGTGCTGCAGCACTAAGCTGTGTCTCGCATGGCTGTGCTGGCGGGGCTCTTCTGTGGTCACTGGTGTCACCCTCTTGTCCTCAGCCCCAGCCCCTGGCAGCACGACTCCCCTGCGCATTGAGTCCCCGTCCTCTGCTGTGGCCGAGGGCCAGACCCTGGACCTCAACTGTGTCATTGCCAGCCCCACACAAGCCACTGTTACCTGGTACAAGCGTGGGGGGTCCCTGCCCGCCAAGCACCAGGTAGGGGACGCGGAGAAAGATGTTACCAAGGGGGGTGATCGGGGTGTACCCATGGTCCTGTGCAAGCCCAGGTGACCCCGTGCAAGCTTGGTTGGCCCTTGCAGGCCCTGGTGGCCCTGTGCAAGCCCAGGTGACACTATGTAAGCCCAGGTGGCCCCATGCAAGCCTGGGTGGCCCATGCAAGCTCAGGTGACTCTTACCATTCCAAGTGACTCTATGCAAGCTCTGGTGGCCTCAGACAAGCCTGAGTGGCCTTTGCAAGCCTAGGTGGCCCTGTACAAGTCCAAATGACCCTATGCAAGATTATGGGGCCCATGCAAATCCTGTACAAGTCATGGGGTCACTTGCAAACCCGACTGGCCCTATGCAAGCCCAAGTGACTCATGCAAATGTAGATGGCCCAATGTAAGCCCTGGTGGCCCCATGCAAACCCAAGTGACTCTATGCAAGCCCAGATGGCCCGTGCAAGCTCGGGTGACCCATGCAAGTCCAAATGGCCCCTTGGAAATGCCAATGGTCCTGTGCAAGCTTAAGTGGCCCTGGTGGCTCCTGTGTCCCCTTCCTGCAGGTGTCCGGCTCCCGGCTGCGGCTGCTGCAGGTGACAGCAGCTGACTCGGGCGAGTACGTGTGCCGGGTGACCAGCGGAGCCACCACTAAGGAGACCTCCATCATGGTGACCATCCAGCCCAGTGGGGCCAGTGCTTCCTGTGAGTGGGGACCAGAGTGGACAGGGGACCTAACCCATGAGTGGTGACTCTGCCGTGCGGTGTCCCTGGGTCTCGGGTGCATCCCTCTGGGGAAGCCACCCACATGCATGCCCATCCCAGCTCCCCTGGCTCCTGTTGTCCCTTGGAGGGTGACATGAAGTAGTGGCCGTGATCTCTAACTTGTCCCCATCCCCAGCCTCTGGCAGCACGACCCC